AGCAGACGCAGCGAGAGTAACTCACAGTGATGACAATCAGCTCCCTCGAAAAGCTGACCGTGCATGCTCCGCTCCTAAACAAACAACACACAGATCGTGTGTATCCCCCGCTGCCAGATAGCGTGGGCAGGGAGGCACACAATGTCTGTAATGCCGTTTGCTCGCCATAGATATTAGTTTAGACTTTGACATATTCTTTTGAATGCTTGTGGACTGACAGACAACAGTAAATAGACTGACACATACACAGAGCGCTACTGAAGAGCAGAAGCTAACTTGCGCTCTGCCGGATGCGCTTTTATACTTCCTGGCGCTCACGTCACTCCACTCGTGACGTCTCGCTGCTCCATTTGACTGATTTTACATGTGCTTCAGAACGCGGTCACGCAGGGGCGTTCCCAAAGCGAATCTCGAAGCAGCTCGAGTTCCTGAAGGGGAACCACAACAACTTCCTTGTGTGTTTGCACACACTTGGCGAATAAAGCCAATTCCAATTTTGATTCTGAAAATGAAATGTGAAAACACCCCACTCATGATCACATGGTCGTAAACGACAATGATACTTCCTTCAAGTGACCAGTGCATGTACTGTACACATCACTAATGGTGTTTCGAGGTTGTTGCTGTATTATGGGATTTTCATTTGAAGAAGAGTTTTACCTCAGAGCATACTTCAGTTGGAGCTCCTCCACATCCGCTGGTGCTGTCGTGCTGCTGCAGTGCTGGCTTAACACTGCTGTTCTGCTGGCTCAGGCTGGCACCGGCTCCTGAATGCGGGACGGTGGGTAAAGAGGCTGGGCTGGAGTGCTGAGGAGCCTGGTTTGGGTCCACGGGCACCGCAGACCCTCACCTTAGAGGGTTGTATTTGAGCTTGCCTCTCCCGTTCCCGTTTGGCCCAGTACTTCCGGGTATCTGTGAGCAGATGCTTGGAAAACTCTAAATCCATACTATGGTAAGTGAAAACATTAAGCTTTGCGCACTTTTAAAAAATCCACAAAAGTGGTAAGTGTGCACGTAATGCTTTGCGCACTTTCTAAATCCACATAGCTGGTAAGTGTGCACGTTATGCTTTGCACACTTTCTAAAATCCACATAAGTGGTAAGTGTGCACGTTATGCTTTGCCCACTTTTCTAAAATCCTGTACGCGCAACAGCTTCGTGCTCTTTCTGAGTGGTTTAAAATCCCGGTTCCGCCTTGGGCACCACTCCTCCTATGTATCCTCTGGATACCTACTTTAACAGGGTGTTGCTACTAGGGGTCTGTTGAGACAGTTCCTTCAGCATATACAGAGCGTGCGGTAGCCCCTGTGTGACAGGCCAAGACTAGTATGATTCTAGGCTCTTGGTCGTATTCCCTTAAAGGAATCTATTCCTGATTCCAAGCCTTGAGCTCTACCCCGGGCCCAGGAGTTCTGGCCCTAACAGGTAAGTTTTTTGGGGTATGTAGCCTAGGCCTTTGGCCGTAGGGAATAATGTCACTGACAGCCGTCTAACGTCCCAGGGGCAACTCCCATGGCAATATGGTAGAGTTGGTACTTAGTGCTCGCCATGGTTTCTGGCATGCACTCCCCTCAGCATGGCGGCGTGGGTATACCGTTCCCCATAGCGACCCCTAGAGGACGCAGTTCGAAGTTCCCATGAAAGGGAATGTCTCAGGTTACTTATGTAACCATGGTTCCCTGAGTAGGGAATGAGACACTGCGTCCTCTAGGTTTCTTGCCATGCTGCGGACGCAAGCTTCAGACGAAGAAGTGGATGATGTGTTCTCCCGGCGCCTATTTATACTATAGTTGCACCGGTAGTGACGTCATGGCTGTCGCCGGCCAACGTGTTGTTGCTTTTAACAGATGCTTTTAACAGAATGTTTTACAATGATTAAAAGCTTTTGTTAATGCAAAACACTTTTGCTACTATTGGGGTGAGATACAGGTAAGGTTAGTGACAGGTTTGGTGGTGTGGGTAGGTTTATGAGATGGGTAAGGGGTCAATAGTGTTCAAGGGTCAATTTTATTGCTATAAGGGAACAAAGTTCAATCTGTTTATATTACATGGTTTTGATAAGTTTTTTGTGAAAAACTGATTTTTTTTCTCTCCTGTTGTTATATGATTCAACGAATATCCTAGGGATATAATATATGTGTTATACGTATAAGTGTTAAGGCATTAAAAACATGTTTTGCACCCAAATAACAATTATGTGTTTTTATGTTTTTAGCAAGCATTTAAGTCAAGTCGTCACTTTTATTTATATAGAGCTTTATACAATACTGATTGTGTCAAAGCAGCTTTACAGTGTCAAACAGGAAAATAGTTTGTCAAAAATGCAAGACCTAAACTGACCACCCTTTACACAAACATTGTTACAGTAGCTAAAAGTCCAATGTCCATAAAGGTACTGAATGATTAGTAAATGTTTATAAACATTTACAAATGATGAAAATCTCAACTTTAGATTGGGGACTGCAAAAACATTAACAAATTATGAATACATGATTTGTAAATATGTGTAAATAGGGTGAATTCAGGTCATTTGGGACACGTTTTGCCATTGAGATGACTGCTCATAAAGGTACTAATGATTCGTTTACAATTATAAACATTTACAAATTATGAACAGTTTCCACTTTAGATTGGGTACTGCAAAAACATAAACAAATTATTAATAAAAGATTTGTTAAGATGTGTAAATACCTAAAGTCTGCATACACACGACAGCAAACAAAATGTAAATAATGTGTTAACATGAATAGTGAGTGAAGTGTTTAATATTACTAATTAAACTTTTTTCACAACATTTGTAAATGTAAAAAAGTGCATTAGATAATATATGAATTGAAGTTTAATGACATTTGTTAGCATTTAAATGTACATTAGCAAATAAGCTTTACATCATTGTATAACATGATCATATGAATTGGAAGTTTAATGACATTTGTAAGCATTTTGTTTACATTAAATAATGATCTGTTAATCATTATGTAATGTTTAATAAGTTTATTTCAACATTAACAAGCATATTATCTTGTAGCTATTTGAATATATATTAATGAATGATCTGTTAATCAGTAGAAAATGTTTGTTAATGATTCATTAATGAAGCTTTTAGTCATTGTAAACCATGTCAAATTAATTTGTAGATTTTAAGAAGGTGTATGATCATATGAATTGAAAGTTTAATGACATTTGTAAGCATTTCAGTTTACATTAATAATGACCTGTTAAACAGTATGTAATATTTATTAAGTTCATTAGTCAAGTCAGTCAAGTCACCTTTATTTGTATAGCGCTGTATACAATACTGATTGTGTCCAAGAAGCTTTACAGTGTCAAACAGGAAAATAAGTTGTCAATAATGCAAAAGGACGATAACAGAGTCATTTTTCCAGCTAAAGTCAGTTCATAGATGATTCAGTGATGTCATCATCCAGTTCAGCTCTCTTCCAATAGTGTCTGTGCAATCCAGTCAAGCGTCCCCAACTAAGCAAGCCAAAGGGCCAGACGAAACCATTATGGTGTGGTTTAACTCCAAGCTGGTTTGTGATGAGGACTTGTCTGGTTCCCGTGGTCTTGTGCCGATGGTTGTCAAGGTAGTAAACATTAACAAGCACATTATCTCATAGCTATGTGAATATTTGTTAACTAATGATCTGTTAAGCATTATATAATGTTTGACAATGATTTATTAATGAATTAATGTAAAGTGTTTCCGTTAGTTTTATATAAACAAATCAGCCTGTGAATGGCATAGTTATAGTTGTTTCTGCATACAGTATTACACTGGGATAAAAGAATGTGTTATTAGAAAAATATGTATAATATTAAATATTCTCTAAGCCAAAACAGAGAAGCCATAATTAGGCTTCTGTCAGAATATTGATTATTTATTTAATTATTATTCTGGCAGAAGATCTAGAACTAGTATTAAATCTCAGTGCGGAACTTGACGGTGTTCTTCATTTTCTCTTTGTAGACCTCATCAAACTGTTCATTTTGTGCCACAGTGAAATTATTTTTCCAGTCTCCAACTTTACCTTTTGGAAAGAAAACCAAAAGAAGATAAAAGCAAGTGAAATAACTAAATTCAGAAGGACTAAATTACTTAGATTTTGTGGTTTATTAACCTTTCCGCATGAAGGGTGAGATCTTGAAATCCATGACTGGGACTGTGGAATAGTTGGTCATCTTGTTCTGTTTCATGGCATCAAACTGAACCCCTTTTGTTATTTTCTCCCTCTGTTCAGCTGAAATGGACAAACCCAAGAAGGAACACAAACGTTCCACCTCACGTCCAGTGTCCTGATGAAGACATGCACATCTAACATACCTTATTGATTTTATGCTAATATGTTTGCTAAAATTGTCTTTTTATATACTGAACTTACTTCAACCAAATTCTCATAGAACATGTATATTAGGTTAGAATATGTCTGTTCTTTCTCCCACCATCCACTGACATGGTCATACCAAGGACCAAATACTTCTATGGGGCAATTGTGGATGTTAAAACAAATTCTTCAGTGAAACATTTATTGGTTCAAGTAATGTAGGGGTTGCACATAATAGAGCAAACAAATCACTTTACTCTCCCAATGTTTATGTATTGTAGAATATAGATTGTATATTTATGTAAACATGATTTATATTTTGACATTAAAATGGTTCTGTAAGGCATTTTACCAACATCTTGCTAAACACCTTTTGTCCTGATGATTGAGAACATTTTTATTCTGATTTTGCAGAGCCATATAGTGGAAAAATATCCGTCCCAGCGTGGCATGAAATAGCAAGGATGCAGTTTATTTTTGCACTGTCGTGCTGTGAAATCAGAATAAATATTTTCTGAATGAACATGTTCCCTAATTGTCAGCAGGGTAATTCTATGTCGAGTGGTGCTCAAGTTGAAAAGCAAAAAGGTGGAAAAGTGGCTTTAGTAACATCCACATTATTGTTGACCAATAAGATGTTGTTTCATTATTTAACTTTTCAAATATTTTACTTACTCTTTCCTTCCATAAATGTCTGTAAGTAGGTGTTCCAGTCTCCTGGTTCAGGTTCTCCCATGTTCATTCGATCAAAATGAAAATAGGAAACTGCATTGTCTTTTGCATTCCGTGCTACATACACAATCTGAATGAGTGGGAAAATGACAAGAAACAAGATTTTCATTATATTCAGCTAATAACACAACTATTGCTGTGTCTCAATCAGATGTAGTTCAATTTCATTGAGGGCCTGCAATAGAGACCATAACTTTATTTTTATGAAGTTCTAATGCTGTTCTGAGACAATTATTTTCCAAGCCAAACTGACCTGCCTGTTTCAAGAGCAAAGTTGAATTAAGTGCTGTAGTAAACTGCTAATTATGCCCACCATAATTAGCAGTTTAATAATAATTAACAGTTTACACCTTTCTGAAATTTACTTTGAGAAAGATGGCCTTTCTTTAGCCTTTGTCTACCTCTGATTTTTTTGTATAGTTGTTAGACTCTCTGTGAGCCTCCTTGATAGCTATCTTGAGCGTAGGATATAGTCAGGCCTCCTCTCGCTTTAGAAAGTCATCATGCTGAGGCCTCCATCCTTAGAGCTAAGTCATGCAGTGTTGCCAAGTTGTTAGGCTCCCTTTGAGTCTCCTCTGCTAGCTGCCTTTACATAGGTGTATTATTAGGCTTCCTCTCGCTATCTTCCTGCTGAGGCCTCTGCTCCCGAGAGCTCCACCTGAACAGCAGTTGTTAGGCTCTCTGTGAGCCTCACTGATAGCTGTCGTGGGTGTAGGATGCAGTCATACCTAATCTTGCTTTAGAGAGTTGTCACGCTTAGGCCTCCATCCTTCGAGCTCAGTCAGGCAGTAGTGCCAAGTTGTTAGGCTCTCTGTGAGCCTCCTTGGCTAGCTACCTCTGCAGAGGAGTGTTGCAAAGCTTCCTCCAGCTATGAGAGTCTTATTGTTGACTAGATAATGATCTGAGATATCATCGCTCTGCTGCAGAATTTCAACGGCATTAACATCAATTCCATGTGATAGAATTAAATCTAAAGTATGATTATGACAATGAGTAGGTCCTGACACGTGTTGTCTAACCTCAATAGAGTTTAGAATGTATATAAATGCTGATCCTAATGCATCTTTTTCATTATCTACATGGATATTAAAATCGCTAACAATTAAGACATTATCTGCAGCCAGCACTAACTCAGTTAGAAAATCAGCAAATTCTTTGATAAAGTCTGTATCACAAGTTGACGCCATCCTGTCGATGTCGGCATTTATTCCGGTCCAATAGATTGCAGTTCTAGCCCTTCATTTACATTTTTCTGCTCCAAGGTGCCCCTCATGCTGTCATTTCAACATCTCTTGTCTCAGTGACTGAGGGATAACGATCCTGTTTTGCCTCAGCAGAAGTCCCTTGACCACACTGATGTTGTAGTACTGAGCACATTCTCCTCAAGCCCAGCCGTTATTCAGATGTATAATGACCTGTCCCAGACATCTGTCTTTCTCAGTCTCCACTGCAATTTGCTTGAGCTTTGTGTCTGTGACTGGAAGAGTTTCAGCTACCATATTCACATGATGAGTCACCTCCGCATCTATGGAGCTTTCGTCATGTTTTCCACTCCGTACCGCAGCTATGGAGTATCTGCCAGAACTATGTACTTTCCTTGAGTATAAACTAGCTCCATGTCATACCTCGGCAGTCGCATCATTAGTCGCTGAATTCTTGGAGACATCTGATTCAAGTTCTTTTTAATGATTGCTATTAATGGTCTGTGATTAGTCTCTGCCACAAATGTCGGTAACCCGTACACATAGCTATGAAATCTTTCCACTCCATACACCAAGCCCTAGCATTCTTTTTCTATCTGTGCATATTGACATTCAGATGGAGTCATCATTCTTGAGGCATCAATCATCCTAATTTGTGTTCATGACGAGCTGTCCACTTTAACTCGCCTTTGTCATATAACAGTTCTCTCAAGCATGGGCGTTGGAACCATTGTATGTGGGTGGGACAAGACACTTTTTTTGAACGATTAGACACTTTTTAAGACCAATGAAATTGGACCAACTCACTTTCACAGTCTCTAATTGAACGCATATGTCTGTTCACTTTTCAGAGCGCCGTCAGTCAAATCCATTCCACTTGTGGAATGCCCTAATAAATTAAACTCCATTCCACATTTTAGCTACAGCCTTGACTTCCACACTGCTGCTTCCTCAAATCCATTCCGCTTGGCTCATTCAGAGTCCATATAAATTAAACTCCATTCCGTGTTTTCAGTACTTGCACCTGCTGCACTCCCGCTACACAGCAAGATAAACAAAGCGTCGGATCAAAGCATTTCTGCCGCTCAGGTTGGTCTGGCTGTGTGCTCACATAGGCTACTGTCACTAAACTGTTATTTAACTGAATGTTCATCATTTGTTCACCTGTTGCTTTTAAAGGCATCATATAGTATTTTTTGCAGCACTGAATAACAGTTACACTTACACTATGTTGGACCCACCCACATTTTTGTTGCTTCTGACGCCCATGCTCTCAAGCACACTGTTTTTAAAGAAAAGTCTGGTATGAACTTTCCGACGAAATTGGAAATTGGAAACTCCCATCACCCTTAGTACAGCCTTTCTGTCTGTGGGACTGGGCATTTAGAGTATTGCTTATACTTTACTCTTATCTGGTTCCACACCCCCTTCCGTCAGCTTGTCTCTAAGAAACATTATTTCCTTAGCTCCAAACTGACATTTGTCCTTATTCAATTTCAGACCATACTTCCGTACTTGCTGTAGGAATTCCATGAGGCTTTTGTTGTGCTGTTCTATTGTGGATCCCTACAATACAATATCATCCACATAAACACGCACACCCTTGATGCCTTCATTTATGTGTTCCATGGCTCTGTGGAATACTTCAGGAGCTGAGGAAATTCTGAACGCCATCCTCAAGAAGGAGTATCAGCTGAAGGGTGTGTTAAATGTGCAATACCTCGTGCTGTCCTTATGTAGCCAAAAGCCCTGGGATGCATCCAGCTTCGTAAAGAACTTTGCACCTGCCATCTCGCTTATGATTTCTTCTTGTGTCGGAATTTGATCATGTTCTCTCTGAATGTTGACATTTAAGTCCTTTGGATCCATACACACACGTAGATCACCATTTGCTTTTTTCACGCACACCATCGAATTGACCCACTCTGTAGGCTCTTCCACTTTTTTATGACTTCCATTTATGTCATTCTTTCCAGCTCTTGCCTAAGCTTTTCATGAAGAGGTGCTGGAACCCATCTTGGGGCTGTGCATCTTTTTTCAACTGTATTTTGTAGGTGAATGGTAATTCTCTGAACCCTTCAAAAATGTCAGGAAACTGCTTCACTGTATTTTCCACATTGTTCCGTGTTTCTCCATTATTTATGATGTATACTCCTTTCACCAGTCCTAGGTCTTCACATTCCTTGTCTCCCAACACCAAATCATGTCCACCTGGAACAACCAGAATATCACAACATGAGGTGATATTCTTTGCTTTGTTTTTCACTTTTACCTTGAGTCTGCATGTTCCTTTTGTTGGGATGTTCTGTCCATTATAGGCTTTGAGTTGCACCATTTTCTGTTTTCTATGTGGCTTGATTGTCATTGCTCTGGCATCGTGCTCTGAAATCAGATTGAGTTTTGCTCCTTTGTCTAGCTTGAATGACACAATTACTCCATTTCTTTCCAGAACAGTCATCCGCTTGTCCTGTGCAACACTATTCACATCAGTCTGTTCTGTTCTTTCCTGACTGGAATCGGCCTGCTCCACCATTCCAACAAAGAATGCGTCACTGGGCTCTGCTTTGGTGGGTGTTTTCTTTCACATCTCTTACAGTTAAACAGTTCCTTATCCTTTTGTTGTTTCACTTTACTCATTCTGCATTACTGCATCTTCTCTGTTACTGCAGTTACAGCTGAACTATCACTTCCACTCGTCTTTGTGTTTTGATATCTCACTGGCATGACATATCCACACAGCTTCATTCAAAGTAAGCTCAGTCTCTCTCAAGAGCCTCTCCCTCACTTTTTTATCATTGATGCCAAACACAATTTGGTCAAGACTCATCGAATCTTGCAACAGTCCAAAATTGCATGTCCTTGCGTTCAACTTTAAATCCATTAAGAAACTGTCAAAAGTCTCTCCCTGTTGCTGCATACGAGAACGAAAGCATAGCTTTCAAAAGTTTTGTTCTTTTTTGGTGAGCAGTGTAAATCAAACTTCTCAATTAGCACGTCGCATTTGCTTTCATCTTCGGCCTGTTCAAACACAAGCGTGTAAAACACTTCTATAGACTGAGGCCCCACGACAGTGAGTAGCAGTGCAGTGCAGTTCTCTCTGGGGCCTCCCTGGTTACTGCCCTTAATTAAGACCGTTGTTAGGCCTCCTCTCGCTATTAGAGTCGTCTCTTTGAGGCCTCTGCTTCTTAGAGCTCCTCCTGAATAGCACTTCCGAGTGTTTAGGCTCTCTATGAGCCTCCTTGGAAGCTGTCCAAAGTGTTGAACATAGTCAGGCTTCCTCTCACTTTAGAGATTTGTCATACTGAGGACTCCATTCTTAGAGCTCAGTTAGGCAGTGCTACTGAGCTGCAGGTTCTCTTTGTGCTTTCTTGGTACTCCTGGGTTGTTAGGCCTTCTTTCACTATAGAAAGTTGTCCTGCTAAGGCCTCCACTACCCTGAGCTCTGCCTGGTTGCTATACCCGTTCTTAGGCCTCCTTGACATGAGTAGAATGTAGCTAGGCTGCCTCTTACTCTTCATAACTGTTGAATGTAGTTAGGCATCCTCTTGCTTTAAAGAGTCGTCATGCTGAGGCCTCCATTCTCAGAGCTCCAGTCAATGACTATATTCTCTTAAAGGTATTCTCCGGAATACCAAACCCTTGAGCACTGCCCACTGAGTTTTTTTTTTGACTTGGCCCTTCAGAGAAGGGAGGAAGGGTGCATACCAGGACAGATAGGGTATGTAGCCTGAGTTTTGGTTGTAAGGAATTAAGGCACAACAGCCACTGGTGTGTACATTAGCGATTGGGACTTCAGTGTTAGCCATTTAGGCAATCATCTCATTTGATCAAGAAGCTCTAAAGACAGGTTACAGTCACAGTGTTTCTCATGTCGGAGACTTAACGACTATTGAAGATAATTTATACCACGCAGAGACCAGGGGCGTTTCCTCCAAGGATGAAAAAAAATTGCAGTGCAAAAATAAAACAATGCAAATATTACAAAATATGACATTAAAAAGTGTATAAATCACTTGTTTTTCTAAAGAAACACTGTCCAACAGCAACACCAGCGGGTAAAGTTACAGCGGGAGTCAGCATCTATCGTGCTTCCCCTAAGGCCATTGAGTTTTAACAGACCCCCTAAAGCATGCAGTGGGTTTAGTGGGGGGTAATTGAGAATGATGAATAGGGAAAAGTCACATGAGAGGAGGCAATGCTACCATTGAGATATTATTGGATATGACTGGTTATGATCAGCTGTGATTGGTTCATGCGATAAATCCTCGTGTTCACTTTCACGAATCAGTCTGAATGAACAATATAATGGCATTAATGGGAAGACTAATTAAAAAAAGTAAGTAAACAACTCACACACTTAGATATAACCACTTTGTTACATCAAAATAAGACTTCAAAAATTGAGCTTTTAGAGAGTAAATCTCTGTGCCTGTGACCAATATTTACCTAGCTTTGATGACTGATAATCAAAAAAATAAAAAAATAAAAAAAAAATAGTTAAAAGTTAGCTATTAAAAAGAATAGCTAAACATAAGTTCTCAAAAAAAAAAAAAAGTTTAAATTGTTACTGCCTTGAGTTATCATTTTGGAATAAATGTAAAATGCTTAAAAACACTAACTTGACGAGATTCATACTTGGCTTTAATAAACAGAATATTGATTACATTGTTAAAAATATAAATGTAAAAATATAAAATAGAATTGTTTCTCTCTCTCTCTCTATCTCTCTCTGAGTGCATGCTGGGAGTGAGTGGGCGGAGTTGGCGTGCATGAGTTGGAGTGAGTTCCATGGTGCGAGTGAGTTTTCTATCTTTTTTCCTATCTTTCGTGGCTTTGTTGTTAAGTAAATAGGAAAAAGGTTGTGGGTGCTTGTGAGGAGCATCATCGGTCAGTTTGCACTGATCGCTATGGCGGCGTCTCAGCACACAAATTTGGAAAGTTTAATGCGCCAGCATAGCGTTAAGGTCATGCCGGCGGAGCGTTGTTCAGTTGAGGACTGTGTCCTCGCTGTTGCTGCTGTTGTTGGTCATGGTTGCATTCTTTCTGCGTCTAGAATGAATAGCGCAATAGTGATGTTTTTGAACAATGTTGATAAAGTAAACAAAGTCATAGAGACCGGGGTTGTTGTGAATGATTCTCTTACTTCAGTCATGCCTTTAGTACAACCTGCGAAAAAAGTAGTATTGTCAAATGTCCCGCCGTTTATTAAGAATGAGGGGATTGAGACAGAATTGACGAGACACGGAAAGTTTGTAAAAAATTAAGAAAATTTCACTCAGTTGTAAATCGCCACAGTTGAAGCATGTTGTATCATTTAGGAGGCAGGTGCATATGATTCTAAATAATCAAAACGAAGAGCTAAACTTAGCCATGAAGTTTAGGATTGAGGATTTTGATTGTCATTTTTGCTACCTCAGAGTCGAAGAAATGTTTCGGTTGTGGACAGGAGGGTCACGTGATACGTGCGTTCCGTGAGAAGAGTGCAGATCAGAATCGCAATGCAGGTGAAGTGCTTAGCAATACAGATCAAGCACAAATGAGTGACAAAGTATCTTGTGTTGATAAAGATGGACCTGGTGATTGTGGAAGTAATAAAACTGAGACTGTGGCCACAAATGAAAGGATGCATGAAGGTGGTGTTTCTGAGGTTAGTGAGCAGGCCATATTGGAAGATGCTTTGGATGTTGACATGTCAGAAGATCAAAGTTTATTTAAAACACCGACATTGAAAAGGAAAACTAAAGGTAAAGGAAAAGATAGAAGGGCTAGCAAAAAAGCTTCTGGAATAGTTGCTGGTGCAAGGGAGTTGGACTCAGAGTTAAGTAATGTTGAGGAGTCTGCTGTGGACAGTGATTGTGAGTCGTCAGACTTTGTGAGCTCAGCTTCACAGAAGCGATCTGTCCGCAGCGCTTACACGTTGGAAAAAATTAAAAAGTTTCTTCAGACAACGAAAGGCATGAAGGGTGTGATTGTAGAGGATTACTTTCCAGATCGTGAGTTGTTCATAAATTCAACCAGGGCTTTAATGAAAGAAGCTGGAGCCTTCACTGAACAAGAAGATTTTAGGCTGAAGAAAATTGTCCAAAAGTTAAAACAAAATTTACTGAACGATGAATTAGAATCAGTCTAGCTTCTTTTCTCTTTTTTTGAAGTGTTTGTTTTTAGTGTGCTCAATTTACCTTTTTATGAGTAGAATAAGGTTGGGCACACTTCATTTAAATGGTGCACGAGACAGCAAGAAAAGCCACAAAAAAATCACTGCAGTGGTGGCTTAGCTGTACTTTTAAAAAAAAAAAGCTTCATATGAGGAAAAAAATCATATGAGGTAGAACATGTTGTTGAGGGACATCTAATGAAAATAACAGCAAAGTTTGAAAATATGATTTAAGGTTTTATAAATGTGTATGCTCCTGTTCTTGGTCCTGAAAGAGTTGGTTTTTTTGGATAAATTAAGCAATATTCTGTCAAATTGTAAAGAGGAGGAATTCATGTTTATTGGAGGGGATTTTAATTGTACAGCAAATGATACAATGGAAAGGAACTATAAAGAGCCACATCTAGCTTCTCAGCATGCTATAAGAAAGCTCATAGCAGAACATGATTTGTGTGATATATGGAGGACTTCATATAAAGAACAAAGGCAGTACACATGGGCTCAAACAAGAGAGAACTTT